AATATTGTATGTTGTCTTCCCTATCCCCCACGAATATATTGTTAGTCCATTGTCTCTCTGAGTAACTGTAAATCGCTCTGAGCCCGCATGAGTGGGAAAAAGCGATCAATAAATTGAAAGTATTATTATTATTATTATTATTATTATGTGACCCTTCTCTCATCCGCTGTAGCTTCACAATTTGGGGCTGAGAGAGTGGGTGGCCTGAGGTCACCCCAGTGAGCCTCTTGGCTGCATGGGGAATTGAACCCGAGTCTCGCAAAGTCCTAGCCTGATGCTCTGTGTACCATGGGATATCTCCACATGACTGATACACGGTAGGAGGAGGGAGGCTACTGCTACTGTTGGGCCTGTCGGCTGCTCCACCACCTCGCCGACATGAGAATTCAGGGGCTTGCCTTGCAGTGGCTTGCTTCTTTTCTCCAAGGTCGTGGACAAAGGGGGGGCCCAGGGGGATAAAAGCAGTCCCAGAGGCACCTGCTGGAGTGCGGAGTGTCTCAAGGGGCAGTGCTTTCCCCGATGCTCTTTAACATCTATATGCGCCCTCTTGCCCAGAGGTATGGGCTGGGGTGTCACCAGTATGCTGATGACACTCAGCTCTATCTGATGCTGGGCAGCCAGTCGGACTCCAGACTGGAGGATTTGGACCGGGCATTACTGGCTGTGGCTGGTTGGCTCCGGCTGAGCCGGCTGAAGCTGAATCCGACAAAGGTCCTGTGCGGGGGTCCCACTCCCGACCTTCGGTGGGACACCACTGGTGCCGGCACCGGTGGTTAGGAGCTTGGGAGTGCTCCTGGATACCTCCTTAGCAATGGAGGCCCAGGTAGCAGCCACTGCTAAGTCGGCCTTTTACCACCTTCGGCTGATTAGGCAGTTGGTTCCCTTCCTCGACCGCAACAACCTGGTCACAGTGATCCATGCGATGGTCACCTCAAGACTAGAAGCTGCAGCTAGTGCAGGATGCCGCGGCGAGGCTCCTGATGGGCCTGCCCAGATGGGAGCACATCCAGCCCACGCTGAAGGCACTGCACTGGCTGCCAATAGCATACCGAATTGGCTTCAAGGTGCTGGTGCTTACCTTTAAAGCCCTATATGGCCAGGGTCCGACATACCTGAGGGACCACTTTTCCCCATATATACCCAGAGAGCACTGCAGTTGGGGTCACAGAATCGACTGACCGTCCTGGGCCCTAAAGATGTCAGGCTCGCTGCCGCCAGGGCCAGGGCCTTTTCAGTGGCGGCTCCTAGCTGGTGGAATGAGCTCCTGGAAGAGATCAGGGCCCTGTGGGACCTTTTACAGTTCTGCAGGGCCTGTAAGACAGAGCTCTTCCACCAGGCTTTTGACTAGGAGCCGCCCTGACCAATACCATCAATGAGCCCGGCCCTTGGCTCAACATCCGGCCATACCATCGCCTGGTTAAGAAGATTATGAGCTGCACTGTCCACAGCAATATCTACAGTCTGCCATCGCAATTAATGAATGAAGGATTATGAGCACCTATGTTTTATGACAAATTGCATTTAAATTGTTTTAACACGGTTTTATGTGGTTTTATTGGTATTGTACCAACTGTGTGGAGCTGTGGTGGCTCAAGTGGTTAAGACGCTGAACTGCAGGCTGTGGAGGGTCGGTAGTTCAGCAGTTCGAGACCCAAGTGTGCTGCATGACGGAGTGAGCTCCCGTCTCTAGTTCCAGCTCCTGCCAACCTAGCAGTTCGAAAGCAAAAAATTGCAAGTAGATAAATAGGGACCACTTAAGTGGGAAGGTGACAGCGTTCCGTGCGCCTTGGTGTTTATTCATGCCGGCCACACGACCACGGAAATGTCTTCAGACAGCGCTGGCTCTTCCGCTTTGAAATGGAGATGAGCACCACAACCCTGGAGTTGGATTCGACTGGCTTTCGAGCAAGGGAACCTTTACCTTTTACCAACTGTGTAAGCCGCCCTGAGCCTGTTTGTGGGGTATAAATGGAATAAATAAATGAATAAATAAATATCACAACAGAATTCCTCAAAATGCAAGCATAGAGAGCTACCCTTTATGAATGTGCCAGAGTAATGCCTGCATCAGCAAATCCAGAAAGCCCCTAAGTCATCTGCATCAAAAATGTATATACCACAGAAACTATTTGCCTTTCGGGAAGAATTAATCTTCTCATGTCCCACCGGTTGCAGAAAGTTTTCAAGGGCTTCATTTTGCTTATGAAGTCATTTGCCATGCATTGCTGGGAGGCAACTCAGATTCCATTCTTTCAAAGGGGCCGGCATCCTTACAAAAAAGTCTGTTACAAGCAACACTTGGTAATGTCACCTTCTTTCATGGACAAATTCTCTCTTTAGCAGTTGGTTTCATCGCTTTAGGACCCAGGCACCCTTTCTTGGTTGGTTGGTTTTTAATGTAACCCCTGTTTTGAAGGGAAAGGCCTGGAGGGAGAAGGTGCCATAGATCAGCAGCAGATGGCACTCTCTGTATGCAGAATATCCCAGTTCAATGTTTGGCATTTCCAGCTAGTGCATCTCAGGTGTTAATAAAAGATTTCCAGTCCATGTGAGGCTTTGGAGGCTGGTTGTGAACACTGCAGGACTGTTGTAGTCTACTGTCAGTCCCATCGACTGCAGCCCTTGTATTGCTCAGCTGCCCTCCCCTAGATCTGTAGTGTGGAATACACTGCAGGGTTATTGTGACTCGCTTGCAGCCCCCTCCTCTTTAACGATAGTACTGGACTGCACTGCAATACTATTTTGATGTATTATTTATTAAAAGGACTGTATCACCTTTTTCCTTCCAAAGAGGGTCCAGTGTGGCTTGGCTTACAAAGAGAAAATACTCAAAACACGGATAGGCTCAAACAAGAAAAAATTAAAAAATAAGACAGCCAAATACAGAACGAACCAAGGCCTACAAATTAGTCTCCTCAAAATACTCAAAACACGGATAGGCTCAAACAAGAAAAAATTAAAAAATAAGACAAACAGCCAAATACAGAACGAACCAAGGCCTAAAAATTAGTCTCCTCCAAATTCCCTCCCACTGAGGATGGTAACTTTACGAAGTTCCCTGAAAATCAGCAGGATGGGTGCCTTCCTTATTTGGATGCAGTTGTCTCAAGTGGTGCTCAAACCCTTTACAGTCTGATCTACACTGCAAGGTTGGCGCGATCCGCTCTCTGCCCCCCCCCCCCCCCTCACTTCGCCACCCCGCCCCCCGTGCGAACCTTACACTTTAGTCTCGGAGAAACTTCTGCGCGTGCGCGGAACGTTGAGCCCGAGAATGTGTACACACGCGCGCGCAAGGTCCAAGAGCGAAAGAAAGGCCGGAAAAGGCAGGTTTCCCTTTTTTGCGCATGCGTAGAGCAGCTCACCGCCCTTGACAGCGGTGGAGGCTGAAATCGCGGTGGAGGCGAGCTTACCCATTTTTCTCGCGCATGCGTGTTGGCACCGCCGGTTCTTGACAGCGCCCCTCCTCGTCATGGCGACGTCGCCGTCAGTGTCGCTGGAGCATGAGACTCAAATCTTCCTGGATCTTTTCCACCAGGACGGGCTGGTGATCTGTGCCCGGGGGCTGGGCATTGACCGTCTCCTCCTGCGCTTCCTCCGTCTCTATTGTGTGCCAACCGGCTTGGTCTTGGTTCTGAACACCAGCCCTGCAGAGGAGGTGAGAAGGAGATCGGGAGGGGAGAGGAGGGGAGACCCTGCTCTGAGCTTCTCTCGTTTTTTTGTTTTTTTGTTTGCTTGGAGCCGGGATGTGAAAGAGGGGCTATAAATGAAGTAAGTAAATAAATTAAAAAATAAATTGCAACATTTCTCCTTTCCAACACTCATCATTGCGGGAAGCTTTTTAAAAATGTAAGTATTGTTATTCGTTAAATTGTAGTTCTCTTGTTTTGAAACATTACATGGATCAGTGGTGCATAACTTTTGCTACCAAGTTAGATTCAGGCGGGGTAGCCGAGCAGTAGAACAAAGTCTGAGTCCAGGGGGCACCTTTAAGACCAATGAAGGTTTCATTCACTGTATCTGAGGCAGTGTGCCTGCACACAGAAGCTTATACCATGAGTAAAACCTTGTTGGTCTTTAAAAGTGCCCCACTGGACTCAAACTTTGTTTTACTACCAAGTGTGCAGCTATTTCAAGTGCTGCACAAGTACCACTTGTTGTTCAGTCGCACAGTCGAGTCCGACTCTTTGCGACCCCATGGACCAGCTCCCGCCAGGCCCTCCTGTCTTCCGCCGTCCTCTGAAGTTGGCTCAATTTCATGTTCGTTGCATCTATGACACTGTCTAACCATCTCATCCTTTGCCGTCCCCGTCTTCTTTGACCTTCAATCTTTCCCAGCATCAGGGTCTTCTCCAGTGAGGGCTCCCTTCTCATTTGGTGGCCAAAGTATTTGAGCTTCAGTTTCATTATCTGGCCTTCCAGGGAACAGTCAGGGTTGATTTCTTTTAGGATTGACTGATTTGATCTCCTTGCAGTCCAAGGGACTCTCAAGAGTCTTCTCCAGCACCATAGTTTAAAAGAATCTATTCTTCGGCGCTCGGCCTTCCTTATAGTCCAACTCTCGCAGCCATACATGACTACTGGGAATACCATTGCTTTGACCATGTGGACTTTGGTTGGCAGGGTGATGTCTCTACTTTTTATCATGCTGTTTAGGTTCGCCATCGCTTTCCTCCCAAGGAGCAGGCGTCTTTTAATTTCATGGCTGCAGTCACAGTCTGTGGTGATCTGGGATCCCAGGAACGTGAAGTCTGTCACAACTTCGACGACTTCCCCTTCTATTTTCCAAGGAGTGATGGGGCCGGATGCCATGATCTTAGTTTTTTTGATGTTGAGCTTCAAACCCACTTGAAGCCCACAAGTACCATATTCAGACATAATACAGAACTCTGGACAAAGCAATTTTAGCGAGCTCTGTTTATGACCCATGCATACAATGCACAAATTCCAGGCATCCATTCAGTGATACCCTTGAGATCACATTAAAAGGTAAGGGTTCCCTTGCTCGAAAGCCAGTCGAACACTACTCTAGGGTTGCGGTGCTCATCTCCGTTTCAAAGCCGAAGAGCCAGCGCTGTCCGAAGACGTTTCCGTGGTCATGTGGCCGGCATGACTAAATGCCAAGGCGCACGGAACGCTGTTCCCTTTCCACCGAAGCGGTCCCTATTTATCTACTTGCAATTTCTTGCTTTCGAACTGCTAGGTTGGCAGGAGGAGATCACATTAGCCAACTCCTTAACATGAGACTGGATTACTGTTTGCTGTGTGCCATTCTTTTTTTGGGGGGGGGCTCGATCTTATTCTCATGAATGGTGAGTTGTATAAAGGTATTTTCATGCGTTGAGTATCAGAAGCCACTGCAAGGGGAGAGAAGGTGCTGCCTAAAGTCCTCTCTGCCCCCAGTTGCTCTGGGAAAGCTTGGAACGCTGCTGAAGTGATGTTGCCTTTTATTTGCAAGCCAGAAATAGGGAACTCACTCAGGTTCCTTCTCTCGGGCTCACCAGCAGAGAACGATGTGCTCAGAACAACATCCATTTATTAGCGGGAAATGGAAAGGGAGCACCTGCAGTTTTGATTAACAGAACCCAGCAAAACCCTGTGAGACTAAACCACTTCACAAAAATATCGGTATGCGGGGGGGAGTAGACTGTTCCATTGCATTACAATGCATGCAGTAAGTACCCGACAGCAGAAATTTGTCGCTTGCCCCCTGAAGAATCGTTGTTGAACACGAACATCTGCCTTTGGAACCAAAATGGACAGAAAGGTGAGGTGCAAATGTTCTAACAGCGCAAACTATAGAAATGGATGTTTCCGTTGTTCTCCCCCCCTCGTGGTGCAGTAGGGCTAGAGGCATGTAGGTAGTGATTTTAACTGGTCACAGATGGGGCTGTCTGAGGCTTGCTCACTCTTGGGGGCCTGATTTCATAAGGAGTGTGTGATCCAAAGCCTGTTTACTCAGAAGTCAGTCTTAAATGTTCTCTGGAGTTTTTTTGTTGTTCAGTCGCACAGTCGAGTCCGACTCTCCGCGACCCCATGGACCAGATCCCGCCAGGCCTTCCTGTCTTCCGCCGTCCTCTGAAGTTGGCTCAATTTCATGTTCGTTGCATCGATCACACTGTCTAACCATCTCATCCTTTGCCATCTCTGGAGTTTACACTCTAGTAAATGTGTTTAGGTTCACGAGAGGCCATTGGTGGTTTTTCATTGTAGCTGTTTCACTGCTTGTCTGCCTGTCTTCATGCTGGTTGTTTCTGGGCACATTGGGTTGCATTTGTGTTTATTCTGATTTGTATTCTTTGATTCAGGAGTTCTTTATTGACCAGTTGAGGACATATAACGTGGCTCAACTTCCTCGGCGCATTACAAATGAAATCCCCAGCAACAGCCGATATGAAGTGTACATGCAAGGAGGCATCATATTTGCCACGAGCCGGATCCTCGTGGTGGATTTTCTGACAGGCAGAATTCCTTCTGATCTTATCACTGGTAAGAAGCTTGCCAGCGGATGGCCCAGTGCTAATTTGGGATGCTTTCTGTCTGAGAAATCCGACAGTTGCCCCTTCTGTGCGAGCTCATCCACACTGCACGCAGGCTTCCTTTGTATTCTACTCTTCAGCCCAAAGGACTCGCAGGAGTTAACATTCCGTCTCTGGTACAACTTTAGGTTAAAATTCCATACGGGTGTACCGAGGTGCACGGTGCTCTTGGCAGACTGCAACTGCAAGAAAGCAACTGGAGAGAGAAGTAGGGCAGAGGTGCAGCGGAGATGTTCCCGTCTGTTTCCTGGGCGCTCTCTAACATCTCCATCCGTGGCTGCATATCACCCAACGATTACGGCAGTAATTGTTTTATGTACTGATATTGTCATACTGCTGCCCCTTGTACTTTTCTATCACCCACCGATGGCACTGTACCCTGATGAGGGTGGTTAAAAAAATAAAAATAAAGGTAGCCTCATTGGTCTGCAGCAAAACCCAGAAACAGAAACTATTTAATATCCCATTGCTTGACCCCAGCCTCCGTCTGGCCCGAAGTCACGGTCGGCTGAGCCAGTACTTGGTAGTGAGGGGGGATTAGGTCAGTGCCGGGATCCTGCTGGTTTCTCTTGATCTCCAGAAGAGACGAGCCAGTCTCCTAACAGCTGAGCCCTTTTTAGTTATAAAGGCGGCCCAGCCAGCTTTGCGGGAGCCCTGAGACTCCCCTTCCACTTGTGGAAGGCAAGACACCTGTGGGCCGGCAGGAGCTAATTTGCAAGCGCCCAGTCCTGGATGCTGTTGCCTAGCCCCACCTCTTGAGCAAAAGACTGGTCTTGGGCTGCCCCTGGCGCCCCACCCCAAACCCTCTGATCAGCTGCGAGGGGGGCAGGGCTTACAGCTGCCGTCTCAGTGCAGCTTTTCCCACCTCCCAGTCCCCCTACTGCCCACGTGCTGCAAGGTGGGTGGAGGCCGGAAGACATTCACTAGCCCTTCTTGGCTCCCAGCCTGATGCTCAGCTGCAAAATGTGTGGAGGTTTTAAGAGCCTGTGTGTTGTGGTGCAACCTGGTGATGTGGCCGGTGTCTCGCAGGGGCTCCAGAGGGGCACGCTGCCTGTCCGTCCATCCTCCAGCCCCCAGCCAGGTGGAGGGCAGGGCCCTAGCAGGGACCTTAGCAGCTGCCCTGGGTGAGGGGGGCATACTATCCCCCCCCCAGAGGAACTGGCAGTAAGGGGGGCCACCACCAATGTTCCCTCTAAGCTGTGGAATCTTGTGAGCAAAAATCCTACTTTGTAAGCTACCGGCATTAAAGTTGTGGGCAAGCGATTTGGCTGCTGCATCAATGAGTCTGCTCCGGAGCCGTCCTTCCTGAGCTCAGAACAAAAATCTGTGAGCTGGAGGCTAAAAAACTGTGAGCTCGCTCACACTCACTCAGCTTAGAGGGAACACTGGCCAGTGGCCACCACTGTTGCCTCCTGACGGGACGTTTGTCAAAACCAATGTTATAAATGGACGACAGGAATGTTGTGGCTGTTTGGTCTGGATTGCCACTAGAGGCCACTGTGACACAAGGCCCAAATGGAACATTCACTTGAGGAAGGGCCACAGTAATGGTAGAGCCCTGCATTGTTTCTGGGTTGTGTGTGGGTCGTGCCTGCTCCTCTTGGTGTGACACTTCTTTAAAAGCCCGTTCACGGGGAGGGCGGGGTAAAAATGCAATAAATAAATAAAATAATAAAAAACTCCTACTCAACTGCGATGCTGTTGTCCGGGAGTTACCCAGTAGGCAAGCTTAGCCGGGATGGTCTTTAAAATCAGCATTATGCCCTGAAGTCTCTTATATCTATTTTCTTTTATATCCAAATGTGTAAAGGTGTATTCCATGTATTTTCTGACAGCTGGCTGCTTCGGATGTATTTATTTGCTTATTTTATTTCTCACTGAGTCTTAGTGAGGAGGGAGCAGGAAGAGGTGTCTTAAAATGCTGAAAAAGCATCAGAAATGGCAGCCACTGAAAGATAAAGCAGGGGAAAGCACCTGTTTTAAAAACACAGGAAAGCAGTAAAACCAGTGCATAAAAATGAGGTGTAATTGTGGGAGGGGGAATCCGCAAAATGCCTGAGCAAATGCAAACATTTTTGTCTGGTGCCTAAAACTAGGTGCCAGATGTGCTTCTGTGGTGAGAATATTTCACAGTCAAGGCAACCAAGGCTGAATAGCTCAGTGGAACCTCCAGGTTCAGAGTTGGGCTGCCCCTGGCGCCCCACCCCAAACCCTCTGATCAGCTGCGAGGGGGGCAGGGCTTACAGCTGCCGTCTCAGTGCGGCTTTTCCCACCTCCCAGTCCCCCCACTGCCCACGGGCTGCAAGGTGGGCGGAGGCCGGAAGACGTCCACTAGCCCTTCTTGGCTCCCAGTCTGATGCTCAGCTGCAAAGCGTGCGGAGGTTTTAAGGGCCTGTGTGTTGTGGTGCAACCTGGTGATGTGGCCGGTGTCTCGCAGGCCTGGCAGCCCCAGGGGCTCCAGAGGGGCACGCTGCCTGTCCGTCCATCCTCCAGCCCCCAGCCAGGTGGAGGGCAGGGCCCTAGCAGGGACCTTAGCAGCTGCCCTGGGTGAGGGGGGCATACTATCCCCCCCCCAGAGGAACTGGCAGTCAGGGGGGCCACCATCAATGTTCCCTCTAAGCTGTGGAATCTTGTGAGCAAAAATCCTACTTTGTAAGCTACCGGCATTAAAGTTGTGGGCAAGCGATTTGGCTGCTGCATCAATGAGTCTGCTCCGGAGCCGTCCTTCCTGAGCTCAGAACAAAAATCTGTGAGCTGGAGGCTAAAAAACTGTGAGCTCGCTCACACTCACTCAGCTTAGAGGGAACACTGGCCACCACTGTTGCCTCCTGACGGGACGTTTGTCAAAACCAATGTTATAAATGGACGACAGGAATGTTGTGGCTGTTTGGTCTGGATTGCCACTAGAGGCCACTGTGACACAAGGCCCAAATGGAACATTCACTTGAGGAAGGGCCACAGTAATGGTAGAGCCCTGCATTGTTTCTGGGTTGTGTGTGGGTCGTGCCTGCTCCTCTTGGTGTGACACTTCTTTAAAAGCCCGTTCACGGGGAGGGCGGGGTAAAAATGCAATAAATAAATAAAATAATAAAAAACTCCTACTCAACTGCGATGCTGTTGTCCGGGAGTTACCCAGTAGGCAAGCTTAGCCGGGATGGTCTTTAAAATCAGCATTATGCCCTGAAGTCTCTTATATCTATTTTCTTTTATATCCAAATGTGTAAAGGTGTATTCCATGTATTTTCTGACAGCTGGCTGCTTCGGATGTATTTATTTGCTTATTTTATTTCTCACTGAGTCTTAGTGAGGAGGGAGCAGGAAGAGGTGTCTTAAAATGCTGAAAAAGCATCAGAAATGGCAGCCACTGAAAGATAAAGCAGGGGAAAGCACCTGTTTTAAAAACACAGGAAAGCAGTAAAACCAGTGCATAAAAATGAGGTGTAATTGTGGGAGGGGGAATCCGCAAAATGCCTGAGCAAATGCAAACATTTTTGTCTGGTGCCTAAAACTAGGTGCCAGATGTGCTTCTGTGGTGAGAATATTTCACAGTCAAGGCAACCAAGGCTGAATAGCTCAGTGGAACCTCCAGGTTCAGAGGCAGTGTACCTCTGAATACTGGTTGCTGGGTCCCAACCAACCAGGGAGGCCATTGCACTCATGCCCAATGCTCCCTCTAAGCTATGGAGTCTTGTGAGCAAAAATTCTGCTTTGGGAGCTACCGGCATTAAAGTTGTGAGCGAGCGATTGGGCTGCTGCATCAATCAGTTTGCCCTGGAGCCATCCTTCCCGAGCTGAGACAAAAATGTGTGAGCCAGAGGCTAAAAATCTGTGAGCTGGCTCACACTGACTCAGCTTAGAGGGAACACTGCTCATGCCATGCTTTTATGGACTTCTGGACATCTCTAATTCTCAGAAGGACTGGCTGGACTAATAGACCTTGGGTTTAATCCTGCAGGTCTTCTTTGATGCTCTGACCACATCTCGGAAAGAAGTTCTCTTTATAAATAAATGTTGTTTGGAGTCTCCTGCCATTTCCCCTTTCAGATTCAATTAATGTGTCTAAAATTGTGGCAGCATTTCACTGGCACAATTTGGTAGGCAGGGAAGAAAGAAAGCCGTTAGCCCACCTGCCCGATTCCATGATTGAAGGAATGCCTTGATTTGCCCAGCTTTTTAACTTGCAAAACATGTTTAACTCTTAGAGTATGCCTCAGAAGATGATGGGCTCTATGCCATATCTCTTTGTTTCTTCTGCGACCCTGATTATTCTGTGTCCCGTTCCATGTCTTTCCAGGCATCATTGTGTACAAAGCCCACCGGATCATCGAGTCTTGCCAAGAGGCCTTTATCTTGCGGCTCTATCGGCAGAAAAACAAGGAAGGGTTCATCAAAGCCTTCTCCGACAATGCTGTTTCCTTTAACACTGGGTTTTGTCACGTGGAAAGAGCGATGAGGAATCTCTTTGTCAGGAAGCTTTACCTGTGGCCAAGGTGAGCCATGCCCTTTGGCACTTCGAACAAGTTAATTAAGCACACGAACACATGAAGCTGACTTCTACTGAATCAAACCGTCGGTCCATCACAATCAGCATCGTCTACTCAGACGGGCAGTGGCTCTCCAGGGTCTCAGGCAGAGGTTTTCCCACATCACCGACTACCTGATCCATTGGACTGGAGATGCCGGCGATTGAACCTGGGACCCTCTGCGTGCCAAGCAGATGTCCCAGTGCTGAGCCATGGTCCCTCCTTAATTAAATTAGATCTGCAGAGGATGCGTCGTAGCTTTGCCAGGCGCATGCAGAACTTCCCCAATCAGAGGCAGTATACCTGGGACTGGCAGATGCTGAGAACCAAGAACATTAGATGACAATGAATGTGTCTCAAGTAAACGCAGAGCTCTTTTTGTAGGAAAAGCCCAGCAGGAACTCATTAGCATAATAGGCCACGCCCAACAGCAGGAACTCATTAGCATATTGGGCCACACCCCTGACAGCACAGCTCATTACCACATTAGGCCGCACCCACATGTTACCAGAAGTGTGGCCATCCAGCCACACCCACCTTTTGCTTGTTATTCTGTTTACCTTGTTTGCTGTCAAAACCCAGGGCCTTTTTTGGTAGCAGGAACTCCTTTGCATGTTAGGCCACACACACCTAATGTAGCCAATCCTAATGGGTTTCTGCTGTTGGGTGGGGCCTGTTATGCTAATGAGTTCCTGCTGGGCGTGGCCAACTTGGGAGCCAGCCAGAACTCCGTTCCTGTGCGTTCCTGCCCCAAAATAGCCCTGAGTAAACGTAATGTTAGCACTGAGTTTGCTGGGGAAACGTAGGCGAACTGAAAGTGATTTGTTGTTGTTTTACTGTCCCCTGCTGTGCAAGTTTGCCATTGAGAGTTGGCATTAAAATAATTTAAATAATAAAGTTTTGGTCAGACATACAATCTTCTGTTCCCCAGCCATTCAAATGGAGCTCAGGGAAAATCCATTCAGATTTGCTGGTGAAGCAACGTTGTGCAGTAGCAATCAGCGTTCCCCCTAAGCTGAGTTAGTGTGAGCTAGCTCACAGGTTTTTAGCCTCCGGATCACGCATTTTTGTTTTAGCTCAGGGAGGATGGCTCCAGAGCACACTGATTTAAGCAGTAGCCAAATCGCTCACTTACGGCTGTAATGCCAGTAGCTCACAAAGTAGAATTCTTGCTCACAAGACTCCACAGCTTAGAGGGAGCATTGGTGCCAATTGGCTGGCCCTTCTGTCAGTTATGAAGCCATCTTCCCGCCCTCCTGAGAACAGTTTTTCAAGTGGGGGGGAAAAACTAGGTTTATTATGTTTTTTTAAAAAATCATTTGATAAAATCTGATCAGGAGGTTGGGCACCAAACCATACTGAAGGGGCAAGGCAAACAACATGTGATTTGGAAGTTTTCTGTGCACCGTTTGAAGAGTGCAGGTGAGGGAAAGCAGTGGCCTCGGGTACTATGCTGTTCTGTGCAGTCTCTTTTTGCATATGCCATGCTGAGCCGGAAAGAGCATCTCTTGTGCTCATTCCTTTGTTTTGGATTAGCAGAGCATTTCTAGCTTTGTGCTCTGTGGCCAGTGAGACCTGGAACTTTCATTACTGGGGAACATCCCATATAAATGGGGCATTGCAGATAGTTCAGGAGACATCTTTGAACACAAACTACACTCCCTTCATTGGATGGGGCTGTTATACTGCTATCCCACAAAGCCCCTTAGCGGGTCGATGCTTTCTGGCTGTCAAAGTCAACTGCCTGACAGATGTTCTCTGATCTATCTAGCCCTTTTTATTCTGCACATCCTCCTAGGAACTCAGGGCTATCTAAACGATTCTCCCTTTCCCTTTTTATCCTCACAACAGCCCTGCAAGGTAGGATAGGTTAACTGAATCACAGCAAGCTGTGTGACTAGTCCAGCATTGCCTCAGAATTCCACGCTGTCCTTGTGGGGTCGCGCTGTTTTGAGAGCTGTTCTGCTTTTATCAATGCAAGGTGATAGAAAGGCGGCATCTTCATAGAAATAAGGCTGCCTTTTTGCAGTTTGTTGAAAAGGAGACCCCCCTGGCCGTGTGGATTTATGCACAGCATCTTAAAAGCGCTCCATAATGTCTCTCTCCCACTGCCCTCACCCCAGGTTTCATGTTGCAGTGCACTCCTTTTTAGAGCAACACAAGCCAGAAGTGGTGGAATTACATGTGAACATGACCCCAGCCATGCGCGCCATCCAGAGTTCAATACTGGACATCCTGAATGCTTGTTTGAAAGAATTAAAGCATTGTAACCCTGCCCTGGAAGTGGAGGATCTATCACTGGAAAATGCCATTGGCAAGTCTTTTGACAAGGTAAATCACACGTTACCTTAACTGATTCGTCCTATGGGTTTCAGCAGATTTCAGGAATTATGAAAGAAGCATTCTTGACTGGTTTTTGGAGAACTGTGCATAGAATCATAGGATGTTAGAGTTGGAAGGGACCTTGCAGGTCATCTAGTCCAACCCCCTGCACTCTGCAGGAGCATCGCTGAAAGATAGCCCTACAACATACCCGAAAGGGGGTCCTACAGCCTCCGCTTGAAAAACATCCAGCGAAGGAGCATCCACCACCTCCCGAGGCAGACTGTTCCACTGCTCAACCACTCTTACAGTTAGGAAGTTTCTCCTGATATTTAGCCGGTATCGACTCCCTTGTAATTTCTACCCATTAGATCTAGTCTTGCAATCCGGAGCAAGAGAGAATAGATCTGCTCCCTCTTCTACATGACAGCCCTTCAAATACTTGAAAACTGCAATCATGTCCCCTCTAAGCCTTCTCTTTCCCAGGCTAAACATACCCAACTCTTTCAGCCTTTCCTCATAAGACTTGGATTCCAACCCCCTCACCATCCTGGTTGCCCTCTTCTGGACACGCTGGAGCTTGTCAACATCCTTCCTAAAATGTGGTGCCCAAAACTGGACACAGGACTCCAGGTGAGGCCTGACCATAGCAGAATAGAGCGGAACTACCACCTCCCTTGATCTGGACACAAGGCTTCTGTTAATGCATCCGAAGATTGCATTAGCTTTCTTCACAGCCACATCGCACTGCAGGCTCATGTTTAGCTTGTGATCAACCAGAACACCCAGATCCCTTTCACATGTGCTGCTGTCAAGTCCCTCCCATATACTTAATAGGTATTTATACTCCACTTTTCTTTGCACTTTTCTTCTCCATTTCATCCTTACAACGCAACCCGGTGAGATAAGTTAAGTCAAGGGCGAGTAAGTGGCCCAGCAGACTATTCATGGCAGAGGGGAGATTTGAACCTGGGTCTCCCAGATCCTAGTTTTCAAGAAAGGGAGAAAGGAGGATCCAGGTAACTAGCAGCCCGTCAGCTTGATGTCTATACCTGGGAAGGTTTTAGAACAAATAATCAAACAGACTGTCCTTGAGCATTTAGAAAGGACAGCTGTGATTACTAAGAGCCAGCATGGGTTTCTCAAGAACAAGTCATGTCAGACTAACCTTATCTCTTTTTTTGAGAAAGTTATTGCTTTGCTGGATCGGGGTAATGCTGTAGACATAGTTTATCTTGATTTCAGTAAGGCTTTGATAAGGTTCCACGTAATCTTGTTGTCAAATTGGTACGATCTGGTTTGGATCCTGTGACTGTTCGGTGGATCTGTAACTGGTTGACAGATCGCACCCAAAGAGTGCTTGTGAAGGGTTCCTCATCATCTTGGAGAGGAGTGACAAGTGGAGTGCCTCAAGAATCTGTCCTGGGACCTGTTTTGTTCAACATCTTTATCAATGATTTGGATAAAGGAATAGAGGGAATGCTTATTAAATTTGCAGATGATACTAAATTGGGAGGGGTAGCAAATATGGTAGAGGACAGAGTCAGGATACAGGATCATCTTGACAGGCTGGAAAACTGGGCTAAAACAATATGAATTTCAATGTAAAGTTCTGCATTTAGGTAGGAAAAATCAAAAGCAGAATTATAGGATGGGGGAGACTTGTCTTGGCAGTAGTATGTGCGAAAAAACAAATATGGTAGAGGACAGAGTCAGGATACAGGATCATCTTGACAGGCTGGAAAACTGGGCTAAAACAATATGAATTTCAATGTAAAGTTCTGCATTTAGGTAGGAAAAATCAAAAGCAGAATTATAGGATGGGGGAGACTTGTCTTGGCAGTAGTATGTGCGAAA